TCAATCGCATAACTCACTCGTGAACGACACAGCGTTCCTTTTCCTCCTTAGTTGGTGTTAGGCGCTATGCGCCGTGTTCGAACTTTGACTATCTTAGTTCACGTAATGGTACCGTTCATCTGGGGGTGGGGTGGGGCGATTTTAGCCCGCTGCCCCGCCGGGTATCCCCATCTGCCATACTCACAGTCGACCAGCACTTGCCGAAACGGCTCGTTCATGGACCCGGATTACTGCGCGGTCGGCGGGCTACTACAGGTGCGTATTCCTGCTTTCCCCTGTCCGGCGGTCGCTTGAGGGCTCCCGGCTTGCCGCTGGATTTCGCCGTCACACGGCTCCTGCGGGCGGCGACTTCCGCAATCCCGCGCGTGAGGCGAGCGGAGGTGCGCACGACGCGTGGCCCGCCTACGCGAACGCCTGGCTCGGGCAGGGGCTGCACCGCTCGGGGCGCTTCGACCTGTCGCTGCGCGGCGCGCGCTTCGGTGCTGGGATTCGCAGATGCCGACGGGGCTTCCCGGCGTGGGACGGTGAGGCGCGACACGTGGAGCCAGTCTGTACGTCATGGGGCGGAATGGCGCTCCTGGCCACCGGCCACGTGGACGCCGCCGGCGGGCCGGCGAGCGGCTGGCCGGCATGGTCCGTTCCCAGCCGGATCCGGCCCGGCTCTACTTCCGCATGGAGGTGGGCGGCGGGCTGATTACCGACGCGCCGGCCGGCGAAGAGCTGCACCATTTCGTCGATTCGGCACGCCGCGAGCAGATCTACTACCACCCGGGGATCGCCATGATCCTGCTGGCGCATCTGCATCGCGCGACCGGCGAACGCCGGTGGCTGGACGCCTGCCGGGAGCTGTTCGCCTCGCCGAACGGTGCGCGCACGACGTCTATCGCTTCCCACCATCCGGCAATGCTCGCCTGGCTGGCGCGTGCGCCCTGCTGTTCGCGGTCACGGGAGACGCGGCGGCCCGGCGGGCGCGCTCGCGGTCGGCCACTACCTGGTGGAGACGCAAGCCCCGGACGGCTACTGGAACCTGCCCGATGCCGGTCCGTATGCCGGCACGCCGGACCTGGACGGTTTCGAGATCCGCCTCGACATCACCGCGGAGTTCAGCATCTTCCTGACCGAGATGGCGGCGCTGCTCTGAGTTCAGCCGGCCACTTGCCCGTCCGCGCGGCCAACGGCCTATGATTGCGGGCATTGCGGCCACCGATACCCTGCCTGCCAACCATCCGGCGCGACGGCGGCCGGGCGTCGACCCTACGATACCCCTGGCAGCCGTCGTTTCCCCGGCTGCACGCCGGTCCGGTGCCGCGGGCCGAGATCGATCGCTTCGAGGGGCGGCTGGAGTATTGGGACGCGGCCACGGAGACCGCCTGGGTGTGCGAGGCGTACCACGTACTACGGAGCCCGTCTCGTCCTGTTGACTAGGTTGGCTTCGACGCCGGGTGCGCGGTTCGCACATCGAATGCTACGGCTCGATGGACCTGCTGTTGCGCGACGAGCGCGGCGAGCCGCAGCGCATCATGCAGGCCGACGAGTCCTTGTATCTGCATCCGGCGCACGCCAGGCTGCCGGGTGCCGCCATGGTGGTGGGCGTGGACGACTTCCGGACGTGGTGCTGGAGGTGGACCACACCAACGACGCGCGCCGGGGCAAGCTGGCGCTGTACGAGTCGTGGGGGTTCCCGGAAGTGTGGGTGGACGTGCCGGGGCGGAAAACGGGGGGCAACACAGGTCTGGACTACTTTTGTTTAACGCGCCGTCGCGGAGCCGGCCGCGCGGGCGGCGACCGGGGCTGACGATTCATCTGCGCGAGAACGTCGCTACCGTAGCCCCGCAAGCCGCGCGTTTCCCGGCTGGAGTGCGGACGAGATCCACGTCGCCACTGAAAGACCGGCGCGCGTCGGCGCGGACCATCGCGGTCGTGGAGCGGTTAGGCGTGGGCTCGGCCCCGCGAAGGCACGGGGCCGGACGACGACCCGCTGTTGCGATCGCAGCGGCGCAGGGTTTCGAGCGTTTCCGGACGGAGGGCCGGCGGAGATGGTGCTCCAATACTGCGGTCGCCGCCATCGAGGTTTCGGAGGGGTTCCCGGCCGGCTCGGCGGCGTTCGCGGCAGCGTCCGAGGCCGTGCTGATTGCGGCCGCGCTCGCCTGCGCGGACGAGATGGACTTCCTGGCCGCGCTCCCCGGATCGCACGGCACCAGCAACTGAGGCAAAACCGCTGCCGAAGGCTCCCGCGCCGTCAAGGCCGCCCGCCGCTCTCCGCTTGGGGTGACATGCGCCTCTGCTCGGCGCGGGCGAACGACACGACCAGCGGGTCGTCCTGCTGTCGCGCAGGAACGCGGCGCGTTCGTCGATGCCTTGCCAGCGCTCCTGGATGATGACCTGCGCGACCGGGGCGCCGAGCGCGTCGCCGGGGCCCAGACACACCAGCAGGTCGGGAGCGTACTCCCTGAGCGCGACCCGCACGCAGGCCGTGAAGTCGAAGGTCGACGTCACCTGCGTGTGGAGCGTGTACTCCGCGAGCGCGCCGGTGTCGGTGGCGAGCGGCGACCACTGGCGGCCACGGCCGTCGATCAGCGGAACGTCGGGAGCGCGCCAGTGGACCGTGTCGGCCAGCGCGTGCAGGCCGCGCCGTGCGTAATCGGCCAGGAGCGGCGAGTGAAAGGCCGCGTGGCCGTGCAGGTGGAGCGGGTAGGTTCGTTCACCGGACTCGTGACGCGGTAGCAGATTGCGCAGCTCGCGGATGCCGGCATCGTCGCCCCAGAGGACGCGGTAGCCGCCGTAGCGGATGGAGTCTCCCACCTGATGGCCGGCCGCGCGCGCAGCGCCGAGCGCGGCGTCGACCCGCTCTGCCAGATCGTGATCGGCCAGCCACCGCTCGTCGGTCACCGGATAGACGAGCTGCCCGCCAATCAGGCCGTCGCGGTTCATGCCGCTCATCGTCTCCACCAGCCGCATCGTGTCTGTCAGCGTCAGCGCGCCCGCGCAGAACAGCGCCGAGTACCAGCCCAGGCTGTTGCCGGCCACCGCCACCACGTGGCAGCGCTCCCGGTCGACGCGCAGGAATTCGGCGGCGGTGCACGCGAAGATCAGCGGCGAGACGTGCTGGCCGGCGCTGTGGGCGGCGGTCAGCCGCTCGGAGCCGTCGAGCGCCGACAGCGTCGGGTCGCCGGCCGCGGCGCGGCGCGTGTCGGTCGCCGCCAGGACCGCTTGGAACGCGTCCCGCGACGCCGCCGGTATCGCACGCGACAGGCAGCCCAGATCTGCAGCGCCGTAACTGCCGCGCCCGGGACACAGCACCACGACTCGCCGCCGTCCGGCGCTGGAGCCGCCGCTCATGAGGCTGCGGTCGCCGCGATTCGGTCGCGTCCGATGGGTGCGGCGGCTGTCGCCGGCTCCGGCGAACCAGGTCGACCGCGCGGGTGACGATGCCGTCAGTGGACGGCATGACGTGATCGGCCGCCGGCCCCAGCGGAATGAAGGAATCGGCTGCGCAGTAGCGCCGGATCGCCGCCGGTCGGGCCGGCCGTCCGTCGCGTCGACGATCGAGGCAACCAGTCCTTCGCTCACGTCGCCGGTGGCGCGACCCTCGTCGACGATCAGGATGCGGCCGCTCCGTGTCCCATGGCGGACCACCGCATCCATGTCGATCGGGGCCATCAACGCAGATGCCCCACCCCATCTCTGACTTCGATCGCTTTCCTTTCGGACATGATTTCTCTCCTTCCTTTCTCGCCCTCCCACAGGCGTTGCTCCAACTGACGATGGTCAGGTCCGGATCCGTCACCGCATAGACAGCGGCGCGGCCCGCTCGAACCGCTTCGCGCCGGCTGCGGATAACGGAACCGGCCAGAATCATCGGCCCTCCTATAGCAAGGTGGCGGGTCTGGTACAGGGCGATCGGCTCCAGGAACAGCACCACGCGACCGTCGGTGACCGCCAGCGCCAGGGCGGTACGGAGCATCCCCACGGCGTCGTCGCCGCGCGACGGGCTGGCGATCACGACGCCCGGCAGATCGCGCAGCACGGCGATGCTGTTGTCGTTGTGGAAGTGCCCGCCGAATCCCGCTGGTACCCCCAGCTCGCGATTCTCACGACCAGCGGGTTGCGGAAACCGCCCTGCGAGAAGAACGAGAGGGTCGCCGCCTCGCCCCTGATCTGGTCCTGGGCGTTCTGGTAGTAGGCCAGGTATTGAATCTCCGGCACCGGCAGCAGTCCCACGTGGGCGGCGCCCATCGCCAGCCCCAGGATCGACTGCTCGTCCAGCAGGGTGTTGAACACGCGTGCCGATCCGGCCCGCTCGGCCAGCTTGGTGGTGACCCCGTAGACGCCGCGCCGGCCGACGTCCTCGCCGAAGAGAATCATCTGCGGATACTTAGCCATCAGGTCTTCAAACCCCCAGTTTCATGAGCCGGCTCCGGTCCTTGTTGGTCCTGACGTTCCGGGGGAAAAAGGCCGCCGTTCCGTATCCGAACAGCGCGATGCGCGTCGTCGTGTGGCCGGCGCGCGCGGCTTCGCGCATGACCGGCAGCGGCCGGTGGATGGCGATGGTGCCGGCTACCTCGGCGGCGCTCGACAGTTGCGGCCGCCGTTCGGCTTCCCGCGCCGCCGCCCGCACCCGAGCGCCGATTTCGCGGTATGACCGAAGCAGAGAGCCCGCGTGAGCGATGCCCAGCTCGACGGCGCGCACGCTGTTTCCGAGCACCGGGTCGCGCGCCTCCGCTGCATGGATCTGTTCGCTCGAATGATAGGTCAGCTCGAACGGTAGGCTCCCCGTGCCAAGCTGCGACGAGCTCCAGATGCAGAAAGACCGGCGTGCGCCGGCGCCGGCAGAGCTCGACCGCCGCGCGCGCCTGCCGGTAGGTGTCGATGATGTCGCAGCCGTCCGCTCTCAGATAGGCGATGCGGGGGTAGGATCGCCACACCCGTTCGACCCAGCCCGGCGGTCGTCTGTACCGAGATGCCGACGCCGTTGTCCTCGCACACGAACAGGATGGGCATCGGCAGGTTCTGATAGGCCGCCCATGCGCCGGCGTTCATGCCGGCCAGCGCCGATGCGTGGTTCAGGGCGCCGTCGCCGAAGGTGCAGACGACGATCGAGTCCTCAGGGAACGGCAGGGGTTGCCCGAGCCGCTTGGCTCGCTCCATCGCGAACGCGGTCCATCGCCTTGGGCACGTGCGAGGCTATCGTGCTGGTCTGCGGCGCATCCACAATGCCGTGCTGCCGAACACCTTGTGACGGCCGCCGGCTATCGGGTCCTCGGAGCTGGCGCAGAGGGACAGCAGCACGTCGAACACCGGGGTGGTGCCGCTGATCTGTTTCGACCGGTGGGCGAAGAAGCCGCCCGAGCGATAGTGCAGAAAAGCGGGGTCGGTAGGACGGAGGGCTGCAGCCACCACGGCGTTGCCCTCGTGGCCGGCGCTGCCGATCGTGTAGAAGCCGGTGCCGCGGCTGCGGAGCCGGCGCGCTTCCAGGTCTAGGTGGCGCGCCTGGTACTGCGACTCCAGGATGTCCAGGTAGTCGACGCGCCGCAGGCCGGAACGCTTGTCGACCAGATCGTCGGCTGTCGATTGCTCATCGGCCGACGGACGACAGGGGTTCGATCCGGCTTGGTTCATGGCTTGGGCGCGGTCCGCTGTCCGCAGTGTCCTTCCCCTGCGGCCGCGCGAGGTCCCCGCGGCGGTCCCCCCGCGGTCTGCCTTGCGCGGGTCGGCGGCGTCGTCATGGCCGCTCGTTTCGTCCTGGTCCTCTGTCTGCCTTTCCGGCGCATCCACCGCGGGCCGCGCCACTCAAATCCCCAGGACGGGCGGGGTGGCTCCCCAGCCCGGTGAGAGCCAGGGTTATAACGGGCCGCGTCATTGGTTTCCTCCGGCGCCCCTCTTCGGACTCTCGCATCGGTCGGCCCTACCGCCCGGCGTCTGCCGGGGTCTAAAAATAACAATATCATCCACGACACCGCCCCTCCTCGCGGGCTCTATTCCTCTTCGGCATCCCTTCCCCTGGAGTGCCCGGTCCAGCACTACGACTGGGCTTGTCTATCACGCCGCTGCTCGGCGCCTGCGCGAGACGTGCATGCGGACGCCCCTGGCATTGTCTTTGGCGTGTGGATCCGCCGGCGGGCGTCCTATATCCGTTCCTTCGCTGGTGCGCCTTATCGCAACTGCCCCCCGTTCCCACGCTCTCTGCAAGCGGACTAGCCCCCGTCTGCGCTCCCCCCATGGCGGAGCGTGGATGGGGGGGGGCGCCCCCATACCCCACGGCGCCGTCGGTGGCGCTTCTCGGCTCCAGGCGGGTGGCGCTGGACCGCGTGATCGCCGAGCATCCGGTCGAAACGCTCGGCCGCTCTGCGCTGGACGGCACGGCGCGACGCTGCCGTTTCTCTTCAAGGTCCTTGCGCTGGGCAAGCCGGTGTCGGTGCAGGCGCACCCCACCCGAGCGCGTGCCGTACGGCGTCTTGAAGCCGAAGAGCGCGCGGGAGTGCCGATCGACGCGCCGCACCGGTCCTATCGGGATCGCGGCCACAAACCGGAGATCATGGTGGCGCTGGAACCGATGGTGGTCCTGTCGGGCATCCGGCCGCTCGACGAGATCGAAGCCGCTCTGGCCGCGGCCGGCGTTCCGGAACTGGCAGCGCTGGCGGCACCGGCCGGCGTTCAGGACGCCGCGGGGGCGATCCGGCGGGTGCTTCGCGCCACCCTGACGCTCGATGACGCGGCGGGAGCCAGCCTGCACCGTCGACTGGTGGAGGGTGCGGCGCGGAACACTGCCGAAGGAGCTCTTCTAAAGACGCTGGCGGACCACTACGCCGGCGACCCCACGGTGATCGCTGCGCTGCTGCTCAACCTCGTCGAGCTCCGCCCGGGCGAGGCGCTGTACACCCGCCCGGACAGCTCCACGCCTTCGTCAGCGGCGCCGGCATCGAGCTGATGGCCAACTCCGACAACGTCCTGCGCGCCGGGCTCACCAGCAAGCACGTGGACGTCGACGAGCTGCTGGTCGCGAGCGACCTGAGGCCGGCAGCCCCGGCGCTGATTCAGCCCGGCCTGCCGGCCCGGCTGAGCGTGTCTATCTACGCCGGCCGAGGAGTTCCGGCTGTCGGTCATCGACCTGCAGGTCGGCGGGAGGTTCACGCCGCAGCAGGGACCGGAGATCCTGTTGTTTTTGGCGAGTACGCGCGCCTGCGCTGGCCGGAGGGGTGACGTACTCACGCCTGACGGCTGCGGCGACGCGGTGTCGTCCCGCGCTCGTCGGTTGCCGGAGTACGAAGCACACGGCACCGGCCGGCTGTACCGCGCCCGCGTCGGCTCCGGTACTTGACGAAGACTTGCCAAGGTGAATTCGTACGAATATCATGTTTTCTACAAATATAGAGAAAATGGAGACCGCCCTTGTCCGATGCCCTGCCTGTCAGTGAGGTCCGAGAGAAGCTCGCCGAGATCACCGGTCGCGTTCAGTTCGCCGGGGAGCGGATTGCGGTTCAGAAGCACGGCAGGACGGTCGCTGTGCTGGTGCCGCCGTCCGACCTCGATGCGCTGGAGGCGTTGGAGGACCGGCTCGACCTGCTGGACGCTCTTGATGCGCTGGCGGACTATCGAGCACACGGCGGCGTGCCATTCGAAGATCCAAGCCGATATCGGGCTTTGACGTACCGTGTCGTTTTCTCCCGCCCGGCAGAGAAGGACTTTCGCGGTATTCGCGATCGGGCGGTCCTCCAGCGACTAGCCGCCGCCATTGAAGGCTTGGCAGACAATCCACGTCCGCGCGGCTCCGGGAAACTGGGGGGCGTCGGCGACATTTGGCGTATCCGCGTAGGCAACTGGCGCGTCTGCTACACCGTCGAGGCTGACCGGCTCATCGTTTTGATTCTTACCGTTGCCCAGCGCGGCGGCGTCTACGAACGGCTTCGTCGCCGACTGGAGCAGTAGCGCCTCCCGCCGAACCGCGGTCAGTTACTGAAGCCGACCAACTCCACGTCGAAGATCAGGAAGGCGCGCGGCGGCACCGTGCCGGGCACGCCCATCGCGCCGTAGCCCAGGTCGGGCGGGATCAGCACGGTGCGGCGCCCGCCGCGGCGCATCGCCAGGAGCATCTCCTCCAGCCCCTTCACCACCGCGCCGATCGTGAACTCCATCGGCTCGATGCCCGACGTCCCGAACTGCGTGCCGTCGACCAGGCTTCCGTGTAGCGCAGCAGCACCTTGGCCCCGAAGTCCGGCGTCGGCCCTTCGCCCTGGCTGTGGACCACGTACAGCAGCCCTGACTCGGTGGCGACGGCATCCGGCCAGCGGCGGCGGAACTCGGCGCGCATCTCTCTCGTGGCGCTGCAGGACCTGGCGCAGCAGCTCCTGGGCGACCTGAGATCGCAGCTCGGCGAATCCCGGGCCGTCGACGCGGTAGGCGCGTGCCGCGGGCCCCACGCGCACGATGCGGACCCGCTGCAGAGTCTGGCCGCGCCGCAGCGTGTCGAGCACTTCCTGCCCGTCCACCACCTCCCCAAACACCGGATACACCTCGTCCAGCTCCGGGGCCGCGCGTCTGGTGATCACGAAGCGGCTGCTGCCGGTGTGCGGCCCCTCGGTGAGGAGCGACACCACGCCGGGCCGGTCGTGGCGCAGCTCCGGATGAAACTCATCGGGAATCTCCCAATCCGGCCTGCCAAGACCTCGCCCGCGCACACCGCCGGACATGACGAGCTGTTCGGAGGCGATCTCCACGATCGAGCCGTCGTAGAACCGGTCCGGCCCCAGTACCCCCTCGGCCAGCCCCACGAACGCGGCGACCGGCAGCGGCGCCCGTTCTTCGTGGAGGCGCACCAGGATGCGCCCCTCATCGGTGACGATGCGTGCGTACAGGCCGTCGTCCAGACCGCCGCACGCCACCAGCAATAACGCCGCGGCACCGGCCAGCGCCGCGCGGCGCGCGCCGACAGCGCCGGTCACTCTTCGAGTGAGGTTCGCTGCGCTCACTCTGCGAGTGAGGTTCGCTTCGCTCACGCGGATGGCCTCGCCTCGCGCCATTCCGCGCAGATCTCGCTCACCGTGCAGACCGGGCTCTTGCGCGCCATCCAGCGCATGGACAGCTCGTGCCACTCCTCCTCGTAGGACCCGACCCCATCGCTCGCCACCACCGGATAGAAGCCCTGCATGAGCGCGTCGGCATGGGTGTGCAGCACGCACCCCTGCGTGATCATGCCGGTCAGGACCACGCTGCGGATGCCGCGCTTGCGGAGCTGCGCGGTCAGCGGGGTGCCGTGGAAGGCGCTCGCCCGCGTCTTGGTGAGGACCAGATCGCCCGGTTGCGGCGCCAGATCGTCGATCGTCTGCGCCTGCCAAGTCCCCTCGTGCACCTCGGATACGTAGTCGGCGTCGCGGTGCACGTACAGGTTGGGGCCGTCGTTGAGGTTCACGCCGTACCGGCTGCGGTGGATGAACTCGGTATAGAACACCGGCACGCCGGCCGCGCGCGCCGCGCCCAGCAGATCCCGGATCGCAGCGGCGACGCCGACCATCACGCCGACCTCTGTGCCATGCCGGGCGTAGCCGCCGTCGTCCTTCAGGTTCTCGTTCTGCATGTCGATCACCAGCAGGGCAGAGCGGTCCGGCGCCAGCAACTCGGCGCGGGTGGTGAGTACCTCGATGCCGTTGATGATCTTCATGGCTGAGCGTTTCGAGCGTGGCAGCGCCGGACGTGTCGATCAAGCGGGCGCCGAGCCGGTATGCTCCGCCACCGTGAACCAATTGGAAAAGATTCGTGACAAGTGGGCCCGAGGCGAGGTCTGCATCGGCACCAACGTGACCCTCACCGACTCGACGGTGATCGAGCTGCTGGGCGAGGTCGGCTACGACATCGTCTGGATCGACATGGAGCACTCCTCGATGAGCCTGGACAACGCCCTGAACCACGTCCGCACCTGCCGGGGCGTGGGCATGGCGCCGTTCATCCGCGTGCCGTCGAACGACCCGGTGGTGGTCAAGCCGTTCCTGGAGATGCACCCGGCCGGCATCATCATGCCGCGCATCTCGAACGTGACGGACGCTGAGCAGGCGGTGCAGAGCTGCCGCTACCCGCCGCGTGGCGTGCGCGGCTTCGGCCCGATCCGCGGGGTGCGCTACAGCGCGCGTGATACCGAGGACTACTTGGCCAAGGTCGACTCCGAGATCCTGGTGATCCTGCAGATCGAGCACATCGACGCGGTGAACCAGATCGACGAGATCCTGCAGATCCCCGGCGTGGACAGCATCGTCCCCGGGCCCATGGATCTGTCCGGTACGATGGGCCTGCTGGGGCAGCCCGGCCATCCCGACGTGATCGCCGCGATCCAGCGGATGCTCGACGCGGCGCTCGCCAGGGGTGTGCCGATGGGGCAGTCGATCGGCCCCGACCCCGAGGTCCTGCGCCACTGGATCGACGGCGGCGTCTCCTGGATCTGCTCCGGCGGCGACTGGCACCTGTTGTATCCGGCTGCCAGGAACCTGTACGAGCTGATGTCGTCGATGACGTGATCGTTCCCGAGCCGCGGCGCCACTACTTGCACGGCTACCCGTCGCGGCAGAGCGTCGCGCCCGGGCAACGGGTAGAGCTGCACATTTCCACCAGCCTGACCGGCTACTCGCTTGCCGTCGCGCGGGTGGGAGCAGGCGAGCAGGAGGTCTGGCGACGGGAACGGATCGCCGGCACGGAGCACCCGGTGCCGGCCGATGCCTCCTCGCACGGCTGCCGCTGGCCGCCGGCGCTGGAGCTGGCCGTTGGGCGCGAGTGGCCGTCCGGCTACTACCGCGTGTCGATGCGCGGGGAGGCTCCGGACGGCCGGCCGGTACGCGGTGAGATGGCGTTCATGGTCCGTTCGGCCGACCCGGGACGGACGGCGTCGATCCTGTTGCAGCGCACCACCAACACCGACAACGCCTACAATCGCTATGGCGGCTCCACGCTCTACTACGGACCGGCAGGACCGGCGACGCGGGTCTCGTTCGAGCGGCCGTTCGCGGGGCTCGAACCGATCGGCGACTACCTCTACTCCGTTCCGAAGGAACTGGAGATCACCGCGGATGGCCGCACCTTGACCGAAGAGCTCGCCGGCGAGCTGGCCGAACGCGGTGTGGATGCCGGGCGACCGACCTTCCTGCGTCCCGGCGCCGTGGAGGGCTGCTGGAACCTGCAACAGGCCGAGGTCACCCTGGGTCTGCACCGGCAGCCCGGCCGGGTCGACGTTTACGACTCGTTCAGCGCCTGGGCGAGCTGCTGGCGCAATTGGGAGCATCCGTTCGTGGCCTGGGCCGAGCGGGCCGGCTACCGGATCGACTACGCGGTCAACGGCGACCTGGAGTTTCACGCGGAGCTGCTCGACCGATACCGGCTGGTGCTCAGCGTCGGACACGACGAGTACTGGTCGAAGCCGATGCGCGACCACCTGGAGGCGTACATCGGCGGCGGCGGCAACGTCGCGTTTTTCTCCGGGAATTGCGCCTGGTGGCAGGTGCGCAGCGAGGAGGAGGGCAGCGCGCTTGTGTGTTTCAAGGACCATGCCCGCGACCCGCACTTCGCCAGCGGCGAGCACGACACCCTCTCAACGATGTGGTGCCACCGGCTGATCGGCCGGCCGGAGAACCGGCTCACCGGCGTCAGCTTCGCCTACGGGGGCTACCACCGATTCTTCGGGATGGTGGAGGATGGGCCGGACGGCTACACCGTGCACCGGCCCCAGCACTGGGCATTCGCGGGGACGGGACTGGAGCGCGGGCAGAGGTTCGGAGACCGCGACCGCATCGTCGGCTACGAGTGCGACGGCTGCCAGGTCGAGTGGCGCGGCGGGCTGCCGGTTCCCACCCATCGGGACGGGACGCCCGCGACCTTCCACATCCTGGCCACGGCCCCGGCCGCGCTGGGCCGGGTGGACTCCTCGCTGGAGCAGGCGAGCCGCGCCATCCTCGGCGATGGCGGCGGCACGCTCCCGCAGCCGGGGCTGGCCGTGCTGGGGACCTACACCCGCGGCGGTACCGTGGTCACGGTCGGCTGCACCGAGTGGAGCAACGGCCTCGCCGGCGGCGACCCCGCGGTGGACCGCATCACGCGCAACATCCTCGACCGCCTGGGCTGACGGACGTCCGTCCGGCCGACCGGTGGGTGGACGACTCGACTATTTCGGAGTATGTTCCGATTTGGTCCGACCCGTTCGGAGCGAGTTACGAAATGGAACTGTACTCCCGCACCCTGCGCATCGAGCTTCCCGCAGGGCAGTCGGCGTTCCTGTGGGGGCCTCGGAAGACCGGCAAATCGACCTTGCTGCGTATGCGGTTTCCCGGATCTGCCCGCTTCGACCTCCTGGAGACGCGGCTGATGCTGGAACTCACGCGGGCGCCCTGGACGCTCGCGGAGCGCGTGCTGGCCCTGGATGACGCCGTCCGTGCCGATCCGGTGATCATCGACGAGGTGCAGCGCGTGCCGGCCCTGCTCGACGAGGTGCACCGCCTGATCGAGAACGAGGGCGTCCGATTCGTGCTGTGCGGTTCGAGCGCCAGAAAGTTGAAACGAGGGCGCGCGAACCTGCTTGGCGGCCGCGCTTGGCGCTTCGGGCTTCATCCGCTGACGTGGCGCGAGATTCCGGGGTTCGACCTGCTGCGGGCGCTGAACCGGGGGTTGGTGCCGAAGCACTACGATGCGGTGCAGTACCGGCGCGCACTGGCCGGCTACGTGGACGACTACCTGAAGGAGGAGGTGTTCGACGAGGGACTGACGCGCAACGCCGCCGCCTTTTCGCGGTTCTTCGAGGCGCTGTCCTTCTGCCACGGCGAGCTGTTGAACTACAGCAACATCGCGCGGGACTGCGGCGTCGATTCCAAGACCGTGCGCGAGTACTTCCAGATTCTTGCCGACACGCTGCTGGGCGTGTTCGTGGAGCCGTTCAGCGGCCGGCGCTCCCGTGCCGTGATCACCCGGGCGCCCAAGTTCTATCTGTTCGACGTCGGCGTGGCCGGCCACCTGATCGGCCGCCGGATCGAACGGCCGGCGGGTGAGGATTTCGGGCGCGCGCTGGAGCACTTCGTGCTGATGGAGTTGCTCGCGTACCGGACCTACCGCGAGCGCGACGTCCCGGTTCGCTTCTGGCGCACCAAATCGGGACTCGAGTGCGACTTCGTCATCGGGCGCAGGGGAGAGGTGGTGATCGAGGTCAAGGGCGGCGCCGACCCCGGACCGCGGGACCTCACGCCGATGCGGGCATACGTCGAGGAGCAGCATCCCCGTCACGCGATCGTCGTATGCACCGCGAGCGCCCCTCGCCGCACGCAGGACGGGATCTGGATACTGCCCTGGGAACGGTTCCTGGAACGGCTGTGGGCCGATACGATCATCGAATGATCGGCTCCTGCGAACGGGACCGAGGGGAGGGCCGCGACCATGCATGACCTGCACATTACCGACGTGACCGTGGTGGACGTGGCGGCCGGGGCCATGCGCCCCTCGCAATCGGTGCGGGTCTTGGACGGCGTCATCGCCGAAGTGGGCGCAGATGCGATGCAGCCGTCCGCCTCGGCGACGACCATCGATGGCCGCGGCCTCTATCTGTGTCCGGGGCTGATCGACACCCACGTCCACTTCTTCCTGGACGGCAGCGGCACGCCGCGCCAGAACTTCGTCGCCGCCGGCGATGCCGAGCGCTGGCAGGTCGCGGTGTGCAACGCCGGCGTCGCGATCGCCGCCGGCATCACCACGATGCGCGACCTGGCCGCCCCCGCCGAGCCGATGTTTCAGCTCAGGCGCGAGATCGATGCGGGCCGGGTGGCGGGTCCGCACGTGGTCTGCTGCGGCTACGCGCTCATGCGCCCCGGCGGGCATTGCCACTGGCTCGGAGGGATCGAGGTGGCCTCCCGAGCGGAGGTGCGCGCCGCCGTCGAGCGCCAGCTCGGCCAGGGGGGCGACTACGTCAAGCTGATGGCCTCGGGCGGCGGCCTGACGCCGGGCACACGCCCGCACGAGGCGGATCTGCCGCTGGAGCTGATGCGGGAAGCCGTGGAGGTCGCCGAGGCCGCCGGCACCTACGTCACCGCGCACTGCCACGCCACCGAGAGCATCGAGCGGGCCATCGAAGCGGGACTGACGATGATCGAGCACGCCACCTTCGCGGAACCGCCGGGACGCTACCGCTACGATCCCGACGTCGCGCAGCGCATTCGGGACCGCGGCATCGTCGTGGTCCCCACCGTGTACTGCGCGCTGCAGAACGCCGACAAGTTCGAGCGGCAAGGCAAGACCTACAACCCCGAGGACGTGGGCGCGGTCGCGCGCCTGCGCGGCCGGCTGACCAACACCGGGCTTTTCCATCGCTGGGCGTGCCACAGATCGCCGGCACCGACTGCGGCGCGATCGACACCGGCTTCGACGCGCTGGTCGACGAGCTTCTGACCTACGTGCAGGCCGGCATGAGCCACGCGGAGGCGCTGCGCTCGGCCACCAGCCTGGCCGCCGAGCACCTGCGGCTGCAGGGAGTGGGGCAGGTGGTTCCCGGCCAGCGCGGCGACCTTGTGCTGCTCGACGGTGATCCGCTCATCGACCTCCGCAACCTGCGCGCTCCCCGTATCGTGATCAAGGAGGGTGAGGTCGCGCACCGCCGGGAGCCGGCCGGCTAAGCCGGGCGCGGTTTGACCGCCTCACGGAGCCGGGCTACCCTGTGGGCGACGGTCCCGTGCCGGCGGTACCCGAAAATCATGGCAGATCAAGCCCGCCGCCCTTCGTCGGCCACGGCGAACGAATACCTCATCCAGCTCTATCTGATGCTGCGCGAGCGGCGGCCGGTCGTGGGCGCCCGCATCGCCGAACGGATCGGGGTTTCGGCCGCCGCGGTCTCGCAGGCCCTGAAGCGTCTGGAACAGCGCAAGCTGGTCGTCATCGATCCGGACGACGGCGTGCGCCTGAGCCAGCGCGGCACGGTGCAGGCCGAGCACACCATCCGCCGCCACTACCTCCTGGAGCGTCTGCTGGTCGACGTGCTGGGCTTCGACTGGGTCGACGTGGACGAAGAGGCCGACAAGCTGGAGCACTCGCTGTCGCCGCGCCTGGAAGAGCACCTCTTCGAACAGCTAGGCCGTCCCACGACCTGCCCGCACGGCAATCCGTTTCCCGGCTCACCGGACGAACGCCGCCTGCTCGACGCGCCGCGACTGACCGGCGCGCACGCCGGCGAACGGACCGAGATCCTGCGGATCACCGAGGAAGCCGAGGAGAACGAGGAGCTGATGCGCCGCCTCGACCAGGACCACCTCGTCCCCGGCACCCGCATCACCGTATCCAGCATTTCCGATGCCGAGGTGGTGTTCCGCAAAGATGCTACCGGGCAGGAGATCACCCTGCCGACCGGCTACGCGCGCTACGTCCGGGTAGACACCAACAACTGATCCAGTCCGTGCGCGACAACCGCCCCGCGTCCGATCCACTGGAACGCCTCCGCACGCTCGACCGGGAGATCCACCTGACGCAGCATGTCATCGGCTGCTGCAGTGGGATCAGGAAACCTACATGCCGGAGGGCGCGGTCGCGGAGCGTTCGGAGCAGCTCGCTCTCCTGGAAGGGCAGGTCCACGAGCGCCAGATTTGCCCCGAGATGGGCGAGCTGATCGCGGCCGGCGAAGCGCGCACCGACCTCGACGAAATCGACCGGGCGTTCCTGCGTGAACTGCGCCGGACGTACGACCGGGAGACCAGACTGCCCACGGAGCTGGTGACCGCCATCGCCCGCCAGGCCAGCGTCAACCACGCGAGCTGGGTGGCGGCGCGCAAGGCGTCGGATTTCAGCATCTTTCGCAATGATCTGAAGGAGACGCTGCGCCTCACCCGCGAGAAGGCAGATCACCTGGGATTCCAGGATACCCGCTACGATCCGCTACTGGACGCGTTCGAGCCGTGGATGAGCACCGCGGAGCTCACCGAGGTGCTCGATGCGCTGCGGGGGCCGCTGGTCGACCTGCTGGAGCGGATCGCCGGGGCGGCGGTCACGATCGATGACGAGGCGCTGCGCCGCGATTGCGACGTGACCGCTCAGCGCGCGTTCAGCGATCATCTGCTGGCGGCGCTGGGATTCTCGTCCCGCACGGGTCGCCTGGACGTGTCCGCCCACCCGTTTTCCACCACGCTGGGTGCCGCCGACGGCAGGCTCACCACGCGCTTCTCACCCCAATCTGCTGAGCACGAGCGTGTTCGGGACCATCCACGAATGCGGCCACGGCCTGCACGGGCTGGGCGTGGCGCCGGAGCTGGCCACCAGCGCGCTGGGCGCCGGCACCTCTCTCGGCATCTGCGAGTCCCAGTCGCGGTTCTGGGAGAACCTGATCGGCCGCCGGCGGGCGTTCTGGGAGCACTTCTACCCGCAGCTTCAGCCGCGTTTCCCGGCCTGGCCGACGTGGACCTGGATCGGTTCTACCGTTCGATCAACGCCGTACAGCCGTCGTTCATCCGCGTCGAGGCCGACGAGGTGACCTACAATCTGCACATCCTGCTGCGCTTCTCGCTGGAGCGCCGCATGGTGCGACGGCGACCTGCAGGTGGACGACCTGCCCGATGCCTGGCGGGAGGAATCACGGGCGCTGCTCGGCATCGTCCCGGAGCGCGACGCCGACGGCGTGCTGCAGGACATCCACTGGTCGATGTTCGCCATCGGCTACTTCCCGACCTACACGCTGGGCAACCTGTACAGCGCGCAGTTCCACGCCGCGATGGCGCGCGACATCCCGGACTGGGAAGATCAGGTTCGTGACGGGCGCTTCACGGAAATCCTCGGCTGGTTGCGAGAGCGAATCCACCGCCACGGGCGCGTCTATTCAGCCGCGGAGATCTGTCGCCAGGTGACCGGCGAGCCGCTCGACGCGCGCTACTTCATCGACTACCTGGACGCCAAGTTCGGGGAACTCTACCGGCTGTAATCATATGCGCGCGAGGAAGTCGTAGGCCAGCCGGCCGCTGATCTGGTGCCGGCCGTCGAACTCGTCGGTGACCAGCGCGTCCTCGGCGCCGAAGGCGCGCCACGCCGCCCGCGCCTTGTCCACCGACGCGCGCACGCCGTCGATCGGGAAGATCGTGTCCCGCTGGCCCGCTTCGATCAGGCAGGGGCGGGGCGCGATCAGCCCCGCGAAGTCGCTCAACTCGCCATGACCCAGCAGGCCGGGCACGAAGTTGCACGTGCAATGAGCGAACGTGAGGATGCTCTGCCGCCAGTCGCAGAAGTAGCCTGAGATCACGCACGCGCGGATGCGGTCGTCGCACGCGGTGGAGAAGTAGGTGTGCGCGCCGCCACCGGAGATCCCCATCGCCCCCAGCCGGGCGATGTCCGCCTCCGGCCGCGTGGGCCAGTAGTCGACCCGCGCGCATGCCGTCCCAGACGCGCAGGCCCATCACCGAGCCGCCCAGCATGATCGCGTAGGTGTTGGCGTTGTGGCAGGTCGTCGGCGGCGACGCGGGAGCTCGTCTGCCAGCGCCGAGTAGTCGGCGCGCCGCTCGCCGAAGCAGCTTATCTCGGGCGCCGCGACACGAAGCCGCGCTCGGCCAGCGCGCATCCGAAGTCCTTGTGGTAGCCGTCCGGCTCCCACCGTTCGGAGCCGTCCTCCCACAGCCCGACGATGTCTCGTACCCCGTACCCGTGTCCGTGCAGGGCCAGCACGCACGGCGCCGGTCCGGTGAGGCCCTTCGGCACCAGCACGTACACCGGCATGGTCGCGTCCGGCCACGTGCGCAGCACGACCCGCTCCCGGACGTAGGAGCCGCGGTCGACGGTCTGCTCCACCTCGGCCTCCACGGGCGGCACCGGCCGTTCCAAGAAACCCAGGTGCCCGGTGAGCACGCGCCTGGCGTGCGCCTGCCACTCGCGTGCGGCGTCGGCGGCCGTCGCTTCGAAGGCACAATCGCGCTCGGCTCCGGCATGCAGCGCGTCCAGCAGCCTGAGCGGGTCGAATTCGGTTCGCTGGCTCATGCCGCCACTCTGGAAGCATGCGGCAGCGCTGGCAAGCGCCCCACCCTTGATTACGCGCAGGCCGGCGCGTAGCGTGGTCGGCATGTTCACGCAGGTCCGTGTCGCCGCATGTTCGTTCAAGCCCCGCAAGTTCGACGTAGCCGCCAACGCCGATCGGCTGGAGGGGCTGTTCCGGCGAGCCGCGGATGCCGGCGCCGAGCTCGCCGTCGCCCCCGAAGGGGCGCTCGACGGGTACGTGGTGATGCCGATCATCGAGGGCGCCCAACCGGCCGAGCGCATGCACGAAGCGGCCGTGAGCCTGCAGGGGCCTGAGATCGGCCGGTTCCGGACGCTCGCCCGCGAGCTCGGCATGTGTCTGGCGTTCGGTCTGGCCGAGCGCATCGGCGGCGACGTCTACAACTGCGCGGTCTTTCATCGACGCCACGGGCGAAACCTGCGGCACGTACCACAAGATGCAACTCGCCGAGGGCTATCGGGACGACTGGTGGTTCAACCGCCTCGGCACGCGCTCCCGCGCGTTCGCGACGCCCTTCGGCAAGTGCGGGGTGCTGATCTGCAATGACCGCTGGAACCCGGATCGGAGCATCGCCCGCATTCCCGTGCTGGACGGCGCCCGCTATCTGCTGATCCCGTCCTACGGGGTCACGGGGACACACCAGGACCGAGCCGTGCTGGCGCGGGCCAGGGAGAACGGTGTGCCGATCGTGGAGGCCAACGTCGGGGTGACCCTGATCATCAGCAAGGGCGAGGTGGTGGCAGCGAGCGCCGGGTCGACGCGATGACGGTGGGCGCGATCGAGGTGCCGGCAGCGCCATCGGTCGCAACCGTGATCGCCAGGAGGAGACCTTCCTGCGCTGGCGAGCCGAGGAGATGCCGAACCGCTATCAGCAGGGCGAAGCGCGCCGCCGGGCGGGCACCGGGCATCCGGTGCACCATGACCCGCACGGGCGGCTGGTGGCAGCGGGGTGGTGTAGCGAGCACGCGCGGTAGGGACCAGCCCGGCGGTCGGCGTTCGGGTCACTCCGCGAAGCGAAAACCGTAGATCCTCATCTGACGCAAGTGGAACTGCAGCCGGACCGGGCTTGGCGCCCAGCGCGGAGCTCGCGCCGCAGTCCCTCCACGCTGACCGGCGCGTCCAGCGCGTCCGCGCGTACTACAGAGCACGACAGCGGTCGCAACGGTCTAGCACTGCGATCGCGGCCGGCGCCTGGCGCGGGAAGGACTCGGCGTCGTGAGCCGTCGCCCTGCAGGCGCTGCGCGCGTAACTCCCTCGCACCTGGCAACGCTCAGCGCGCATCCGTGACGAGCGCGACGTTGACGGCTGAGGGCCGTCTGCCGCGAAACGAGAGCTCCGCGTGTGCGAAGATTTATGCCGACTCGCGCACCGTCCTCGATGCGACGAACCCGAGATCGCGGCCGAATGGACCGACGCCATCGCACCGTCGCGCCGCTACCTCGCCTGTCCCGCTATGACTGCAGCGGTGTCCTCATGACGGCGTGTAGCTCGCGTCGCACGCGCCGTGCCCTGTCCGGTGCGCGTGTAGAGCGCCACGCGGTCGGGTCCGGCCGGCAGGATGCCGGGACCGGCATAGATCCGGAACCGGTCGTAGGCCCCCGGCTGTTCGCTGTTGGCGACGATCGGCACGCGCGTGGGCCGTATCCAGGTCCGGTTGTCGCGGCTGACGGCGAGCTGCAGGTCGAGCCTGCCGCTCCAGTGGTGGTAGGGCGAGAAGAACATCAGGTGCAGGTCCCGGTACGGGCTCCACGGGCAGTTGTAGAAGTCGACGTCAAGCCCGTCTTCGTGATCGGGCGCCAGGACGATCTCGGGCTGCGTCCACTCGGGGTGGGTGCCGTCGAAGCTCATGGCCTCGATGCGGGCGACCGATCTTCCCCAGCCCTGAGGCAGCACGGGACGGTCGCCGACGTCGCGGCCGGCGCGCTTCAGGCTGTTCGAGCGGATGTAGGCCACGTAGCGGCCCAGCACGGGGTCGTAGCCGGCCACGTTCTGGGTGTCCAGGCCGGGGATGTTGTAGCCCCACGGGTACATGGACCAGGACAGACCGTCGCTGGAGTAGGCGCCGCGCAGCCCGAACGGCGTCCGGCCGCGGTGCAACATCTTGTAGCGCTCGGCCGGCCGAGCGTGGGGTCGACGAATACACAGGCGCCCTCCGCGTAGCGGTCGATGTCACCGCGCAGGACCACGTTGTTCTCCTTGGACCCGTCCACCTCGACGAGTCCCAAGGCGGGCTTGTGCCAGTGCACGCCGTCATCGGATTCGGCGTAGGCCACCATCATCTGCGTGACCGTGCCCGGCTCCCGGGCTGGCCGTTGATGGGGGTAGCGCGGGTCGCGGGCGGAGTGGTGATCGGTGTTGTACCAGCAGCGGAAGCGGCCGCCGTCGTGCAGGACCGTCATCCAGTAGATGCCGCCGGTCTCCCACGTCGCGTCGCGGCCCGGCAGCATCACCGGTTCAGGGTCCTTGACGGCGGGGCCCGGCGTGAACCGGATGTTCACCGGGTAGTCGCGCGAGGCGGCCGTGCCGCGCGTCAGCAGGAAGTCGTCGCAGAACAGTTGCACGTCGCTCCCCACGTCCAGCACCCGTGAGGCATGCGGTGCCCCGAAGTCGATGCGTCCGCCCGGCGGCAGCCCGGTAGATTGCATGATCCACCCTCCGCCCCACACGATAGCTCGGGAGGCCGAAGGCGACCATTCAGGCTACTCGATGCCGAAGACGTCCAGAAACCGGTACACGTCGAAGGAGGCGCTGAACAGCTCCTCGACCTCGCGCACCTTGTCGACATCGTACACCTGCAGCTTGGTGCTCTCGTAGAGCCCGAACAGGCGTGCCTCGGTGGCCGCCGAATCGCCGCGTATCAATACGGTCGGCAGCCCGGCGCCGATGATCTCGGCGCGCAGCTCCGGTGCCAGCGATTCACCTTCGTCGCAGGTCAGCACCAACCCGCCGATTCCGCGCGTGGCGCCGAGCTGCCGGTGGTAGGAGAGGATGCTGCGGATCCGGGGTGAGGAGTTGGCGCTGATGACCACCAGATCGCGTCTCCGGATCGCTTGCGCGGGCCGCAGGAACTGCGCAGGCAAAGAGATGACGCGGATCGTCCGACACGGCCGCTGCCAGGTGGGATGACGCGGATCACCTATCGCCTCGGCATGGCGCAGCGAATTGAGCACCAGATCGATGGACGGCTGCGGGAGGTCCTGCACGGTGGGAATGAAGCCCAGGATGCTCAGGTTCCCGCCGAAGCCCGGAAACCGGCTGTTGAGCGCGTCCTCGGTGAGGTACCGCTGCAGGGTGCGGATCTTCTCCGGGATCAGCTTGTTGAAGATCACGCCGCGCACGCGGCATCTCTTGTGCAGAAAATAAGACATGTAGACTTCGAGCGTGTCGATGGCGCGGCCGATGCCGCCCTCGGACAGAAAGACGATCTCCGCGTTCAGCAGGTTGCCGACGTCGGCGTTGGACAGGCCGGCGATGGCGCCGACGCCCGGGTGTCCGGAGCCTTCGGCGATGATCACCTTCTTGTCGGCGAGCGATGCCACCGACTCGAGGATGCGGCGTTCCAGCGTCCGCGTCAGCGCCTCCTGGTCTCCCGATTCGAGGTAGTTGCGGGTGAACCCCGACGTGAACCGCACCGGTGAAAGGTGCCGCGGCTCGAAGCCGGGAAGGGAGCTGAACACCGACAGGAGCTGTACGTCCTTGTCCACCTGCATGCCGTCGCGGAGCGTGGAGACCTCCTGGCCGACCGGCTTGATGTAGCCGATCGTGGACGGGATCGAGCACGCGGCGGAGCTGCGAGATGATGCCAGGCTGGTCACGGTCTTGCCGGCATGCTGCCGGTAGCCGGTGAGGTAGACGATTACGGGAGCCACGGGCATGCTCGAGGCGTTGCCGGTTGCGCGGGTCGCACGGTTGCGGTATGCATGGCGCCATGCGTTGGATGGCAGGGTTGGTGCTGGCAGTCGTGGCTACGGCCGCAGTCGCGCAGACCGAACCGCAGGGCGGCGGCGCGGCCGGGGACGCGGGTGTCGTCGTCGTACAGGAGGAGGCGCCGGTCGTCGACGGGACTGTCGCGGAGGGCGAGTACGGGCTCAGCCTTCAGTACGAGGGCATCACGATCGGCTTGGCGCTGGTCGGCGACACGCTGCACGTGGCAGCCGTCGCGATGACCAGCGGCTGGGTAGGGGTCGGCTTCGGCTCCGACATGATGGACGGCGCGCGCATTCTGTTCAGCTTCGTCGATGCCGAGGGGCAGGTGTTCTTCGCGGAGCAGGAAGGACGGGATCACACGCACCAGGACGTCAGCGACACGCTGGCGAGTGCCCACGCGGTGGGCGAGGTCGATGGAACCACCACGCTGGAGGCGGCGCTGCCGGCCGCGTTCGTCCGCGAAAGCGCCGACGAGGCGGGGGTGTTCCCGATGATCATGGCGTACGGCCGGCGTGACTCGGTGCGGGTCGTCCACCGCTTCTTCAAAGCATCGAGCTGACCTTCGGCTGATCGCAGCCTTCGGCTGTTCGCAGGCCCGCTCACCCTGAAGGCGTGCCTGCGCCTACGCCCCGCTATCCGCGGAGCCGCGCAGGCAGAGCCACGTCGCTTCCGCAGCCAGCTCGTCGCCGACATACGCCTTGCCGCTCTGGCGGATCATGGCGGGCGAGCTGCGCGTGGTGGTGACCTCGAGCCGGACCTCATCACCGGGGCGTATCTGGCGCCGAAACTTGGCCTTCTCCACCGTCGCCAGGAACAGGATCGACCCGGCGCCGTCGCTCTGCGCGGCGATTCCCGCGCCGCCGCACTGGGCCAGGCACTCGACGAGTAGCACGCCGGGCACGACCGGGTACGACGGGAAGTGGCCGGCGAAGAACGGTTCTTCGGCCGTGAACCGCTTGTAGCCGACGATCATGTCTGTGTCGGCACGCTCCAGCCGGTCCACGAACAGGAACGGGGGACGATGCGGGAGCAGCTCGGTGACCTGCCGGGGACTCACGCTCAGATGATCCCCAGGCGACGCCCCACCGCGGCGGTGATCTCCAGCACGCGGTCCAGCTCTTCGTCGGTGTGGATCGCCATGTAGGAGGTTCTGATCAGAGCCCTCCCCGGAGGCACGCCCGGGGTGACGACGGGGTTGGCGTAGATGCCGGCCTCGAACAGCGCTCGCCAGAACCGGAACGTCAGGTGGTCGTCGCCGATGATCAGCGGCACGATAGCCGTCTCGGCGAGATCGACGTCGAACCCCACGGCCTTGTATTCGCGGATCATCCGGGCCGAGATCCGTTGCAGCCGCTGCGCGTGCTCGGGCTCCTCACGCATGATCTTGAGCGCCGCCGCGGCCGCCGCAAGGTTGGCCGGCGGCATGCTGGCGCTGAAGATCAGCGGGCGACCTTCATGCTTGATGTAGTTGACGACCTCCCGATCGCCTGCAACGAAGCCGCCGAGGGATCCGAACGACTTGGAAAAGGTGCACATTATCAGGTCGGAGAGCGGCCGTCCGAAGTGTTCTTCGGTGCCACGGCCGGTGGCGCCGATCACGCCGATCGCGTGCGCCTCATCCAGGTAGATGCGGGCCCCGTGCCGCCGGGCGACCTCTGCCACCTCGTCGAGGCGGACAATGTCGCCCTCCATGCTGAAGACCCCGTCGGTGACCACCAGCTTGCCGGCGTCGGCCGGCGCCGAACGCAAGGAACGATCCAGATCCTCGGCGCTGTTGTGGGCATACCGGTGGACCTTGATCGTGCCCAGCCGTCTCCCCGATGCGTGGAAGATGCCGTCCATCACCGATGCGTGGTTGAATCGGTCGGAGAAGACGTGGTCGTGCTTGCCGAGCAGGGCGGAGATGGCGCCCAGGTTGGTCTGGTAGCCGGTGGTGAAGCAAAGCGCGGCCGGCCTGCCGACGAAATCGGCCAGGTCCGCCTCCAGTTCCTCGTGCAGCGTGAGCGTGCCGTTCAGGTAGCGTGAACCGGAACAGCTCGTGCCGTAGCGCTTGACCGCCGCGATCGCCGCTTCCTTGACGCGCGGATCCCACGACAATCCGAGGTAGTTGTTGGAGCCGATCATCAGCAGGTCGCGGCCGTCGATCACCGCGGTGGTGCCGCGGACCTCCTGAATGGCAGCGAAGAACGGGTAGAAGCCGAGCAGCTCGAGTTGGCTGTCGAACCATTCCTGATAGGCGCGGCACTTCTGGAACAGGTCGCCTTGTGCGGGCGTGGCCGTGGGCGTGTGCCCGTCAGCGTCGCTGGAAGCCATACATCAGATCAGGAGAGAGGCGGCCGAACGCGTCCGCAGGTATTCGATACTACGGAACCGGCACCGGTATCAAGCAGCCGATGCGGACCGTCTGCGCCGGGATCCGGCGCGGTCAGCCGGCCGTGCCCTCCTCGACCAGGGCCGCGAACATGTTCCGCATCGGCTCCGAGTCCCATTCGCGTGCGCCGATCGCGCGCGCCACGATCGTTCCCTCCGGGTCGAGGATGTAGGTCATCGGCAGCGATCGAGCGGCGTATACGCGCCCGGTGGACAGGTCGGCGTCGATCACGATTTCGAAGGTGATGCCGGTTTCCTTCACGAAGCGCTCGACGTCGGCGGTCTCTTCGCCCACGTCGACCCCCACGACCCGCAAGCCGTGGTCGGCAAGTTCCAGGTGGAGACGTTCCAGTGCCGGCATCTCGATCCGGCACGGGGCGCACCAGGTGGCCCAGAAATTGAGCAGCACGTAGCTGCCCGCGTAGTCGTCCAGGGTGCGTGGGGTGCCGTCCAGGGCCGCCAGTTCGAAATCGACGCGCGCCTCCTTCTTCGCCGGCTCGAAGCCCAGGTCGGCCATAGCCTCCATGACGGTCTTTTCGCCCGTGCCGGCCTGCCCTTCGATTGGGACGGAGCTGGTCGAGGTCGTGCCCGCGGGAGCGGCAACGGTGGCCGTTTCGGATCCTTCCGCCCCGTCCGAGCAACCGATCAGAGCGAACGGAAGCGCCGCGGCGATGAGCGCCGCTGCCCACGTGCCGGCTCCTCCCATGGACACATGATACGGAACGCTCGGCCCCGGCGGGAACAACGGACGTCCGTGTGACCGGCTAAAGCGCCGCGTCCGGCGTGGCGCTTTCCGTAGTGAGGTGGGTGCTTCCTTGGTCGCCGCAGCCGTCGCGGCCGGCGCGTTGAGCGTCGCCCCGGCGGCGCTGCCGCTGGCCCTGTGCATCATCACCGGCGCGGCGGTCGCCGGCGGCATACTCTGGGCGTGCGCGACGGTGCACGGGCAGCCGTCGGTACGCGCCTGTGCGGCCGCCGCGGTGCTCGGCGCGATGCTTGCGGCCACCGGGGTATTGAGGATGCGGATGGAGGAGCGATCCGCCTACCTGGGGCTGGCCGATGCCGGCCCGCTGGTGCTGCACGGCGCGGTGGTGGACGACGGTCGGCCACTGGCTCGGGGCGGTACGGCGCTGTCGCTGCAGGTCGTCGCGGTCTCCCGTCCCGGCGGGGCGTTGCGGGCCACGGCAGATCTTCGGCTGGAGCTCTATCTGCGGAGTGCGGAGTCGCTGCATCGGGGAGAGGTGTTGTCGGCAGCGCTGGACGCGCCACCAGAGCTGTGGCGTGGGCGGCTGATCGGCCGGCCGGTTCACCTTGAGCGACACGGGTTTCGATCGCCGTTGTGGAGGTTGCGGGCGGTGCTCCGCGAGCGGATCGTGGCAGCCTTGGCGCGGGCCGGGCCGGCCGCGGGGCTGGCCACGGCGGTCCTGATCGGTGACCGCCGGCACCTGGACCCAGCCGTGGTCGCGCGCTTCCGGCGCGCCGGAGCGTCTCACCTGCTGGCCTTGTCCGGGCTGCACGTCGGCATCGTCTACGGTTGCGTGCTGGTGCTCATGCGGGTCGCGCCGCGGCGCGCGGGGCCGGTGGTCGCCGCCGCGGTCGCCGCGGCCTACGCCTTGATCGCGACGGGCGGGCCGGCTTTGGCGCGCGCGGCGATGATGGCCTCTGTCGGATCGCTGTTGGCGGTGACCGACCGCGAACGTCGACCCGTGCCGATCATCTCGCTGGCCGCGCTGATCCTGCTGGCGATCGATCCGGCCGCCGCCGCCCAGCTTTCGTTTCAGCTCTCGTTCCTGGCGCTGCTGGGCGTGCTGGCCGGCGCGCGAATCGCCTCTCGCCTGCCGCCGGGATTGTCGCGGTGGGTGGGCGGGGCCGTGCTCTGCTCGATCGGTGCGCAGACGGCGACAGCACCCCTCGTACTGACCACATTCGGGGAGCTCTACCCGGGTTCGGTACTGCTCGCGCCGGTGCTGATGCCGGCGGTGACCATCTTCCTGGTCGCCGCACTCGGGGTGGGTGCTGCCGGTCAGCTTGCGCTGGTGTTTCCGTCGGGGGTCGCTGGCGCAATCCTCAATCTGGCGTTTATCATCCTGGAGGCCGGGATCGCGCTCAGCGCTGCCATCCCGGGGATCTCGCTGTGAACGACGAAGAGTGAACCACGACTCGCCGACCGACATCAGGCAAGCGCTGGAAGCCGCCGGAATCGCGCTGAAGAAGCGCTGGGGGCAGAACTTCATGATCAACCGGGGGGCGCGGCGGAAGATCGTGGAGTTGCTCGATCCGCAGCCGGGCGAGTCGATCTGGGAGATCGGCGCGGGGCTGGGCGCGTTGACCGAGATGATCGCACCGCTGGCGGGCAACACCGTGGTGTTCGAGAGCGACCATGGACTGGTCAGGCATCTGCAGTCCGAGCTCTCCGACTCGAGCGTTCAGATCGTGGCCGGTGACTTCCTGGATACCCGCGAACAGGCCCTTGCGGCCTACGGCGCGCCGAAACGGATCGGCGGCAACCTGCCGTACAGTAGCGGGGCGGCGATCGTCGCCGCGCTGCTGGAACATGGGCCGCAGGTCGACCGCATGGTGTTCACGCTGCAGAAGGAGGTGGTCGAACGCATGTGCGCGGCTCCCGGGTCGCGGACGTATTCGTCATTCTCCGTCATCTGCCAGGCGTTCTATGCCGTTGCCAATCAGGGCGACCTGCAGCCCGGGTCCTTCTTTCCGGCGCCCGAGGTTCAGTCCGGTGTGGTGACGATGGACCTGCGCGCCGATGCCGGGCGCGTTCGTGATCCGGCCATTTTCTTCCTGCTGGTGCGTGCGGCGTTCGCGGCCCGGCGCAAGACGCTCCGGAACAATCTCCTGCGGGAGTCGCCGTTCCCCCTCAGCAAGCGTGACCTGCTGGCGGTGGTGCAGCGTGTGGGGATCGACGCGGGCGTACGCGCGGAGGCGCTCGGCGCCGATGAGCTGGTCGCGGCCAGCAACCAGATCGCAGTGCTGGCCCGCCGCGGATCGAGCGAACCGTGAGCGACCACGAGATCGGCATCTACGGACTCGGCCGGTTCGGGACGTTCTGGGCGGAACGGCTGGCTCGCCACGCGACCGTGAAGGCGTTTTCGAGACGCAGCCGGGCGGCGCCGGCAGGTGTTGAGCTGGTTTCCGAGGAGCGCCTGCTGGAATGCCCGGTGCTGATCCTGTGTGTGGCGATCTCGGCGATGGAGCAGTTGCTCGGCCGTATCGGCGATCGGCTGCCGGCGGGCGTCACCGTGATGGATACCTGCTCGGTGAAGGCCCACCCGACGCGGCTTATGGCCGAATTGCTGCCGCCGGATGCACAAATCCTCGGCACCCATCCGATGTTCGGCCCCGATTCGGGGCGTGAGACGATCGCCGGCCGGCCGATGGTGCTCTGTCCGGTCCGCATCGATGCGGAACCTCTGGCCCATTGGAAGCGCTTCTTCACCGGTCTCCAGTTGGACGTGGTCGTCATGGAGCCGGACGCGCACGATCGCGAAGCGGCGTTCACGCAAGGCGTCACCCATTACGTCGGCCGGGTTCTCGCGGAGATGCGACTGCGCGAATCCGGCATCGCGCCGCTCGGCAACCAGCGGCTGCTGTCGATCGTGGAGCAGACCTGCAACGATCCGTGGCAGCTCTTCGCCGATCTGCAGCGGTACAATCCTCACACCGTGGAAATGCGCGCCGGCCTCGAGCAGGCGTTCCGCAGTGTCTCCGCGCGACTGGACGACGTTGAGGACGCCTCGTAGCGCGGGCGCACCGTGTCCAGAGGCCTGTCCGCCGCCCGGCGCCGCACCCACCCTTGGCGCTGACGGGGCAACTCGACAGACTCACCGAGTGGCGAGCGCTGTGTCGGATCGACGACTCGCGGAGTTCGATGTGGGATCGATCGACACGGTCCTTGGCGAGGACGTCGAGTTCACGGGCGAGCTCACCTTCGAGCGGTCGCTGATCGTCAAGGGTCAGCTCAACGGCAAGATCACGGTGTCGGGCACGCTGTACGTCGACGAACATGCCACGGTAGCGGCACGGGTGGAGGTGGAGCGCCTGCGCTGCAAGGGCACGATCAGGGTGACGTGATCGCGCGCAGGTGCGTCGAGCTGTATTCGACAGCGAGCGTCGCCGGCGACGTGGCTACTCCGGAGCTGGTGATGGAAAGCGGCAGCAGGCTCAACGGACGCTGCGTCATGGGTGACGACCGCGGATCAGGAGCCGGCGACCTCGACGCGGAGGCTCCGGCGGAGGCGACGTAGCGAGCCCTTCGGCCTGCACGGGAGGCGTTGACCATGACCGGTGCAGCGGGTCAGATTGGTAGGGTCGGGCCGCTAGCTCAGGTGGTAGAGCAACAGCCTTTTAAGCTGTGGGTCGACGGTTCGAATCCGTCGCGGCTCATCCCCTGACACCTACGCTTCCGCCAGAATCACCGATCCGACACGGCCGATCCGGGCAAAGTGGCGTTCCCGCGCCGACGTGTCCAGACAGATGCGCATCAGCGCCACAGCTCCTCATCGATCTGATCGACCCTTGCGGCCGACGTAGAGCAGGTGAATGGACGAAGCGACCATGCTCTGCTCGCCACTTACTTCGAACAGCAGATCCAGCCACAGATCTCGCTGTTTCCCGGCAAGGGTGTTGGAGTCTTCGTCGTGCGCGGAGATCGCCGGCTCGACGCCTGCTATCTGTAGTGTGTGCGGAATCCCACGGTCTCATGCATCGGGGAGATCTCTTCAGGGCGGACGGCGAAGGTAGTCTCGGGAAACCACACATCGGGGGCCCCGTGCCGGGCCGATGG